CCTCATGAAGTTAAAAACCCTTGTTAAAATGATCACATATATTTCAATTAAATAATAGCCGTGGGAGAGGACAATTAGCAGATGCGGTCAGGAGAGAAAAAGATACGTTTTTCAGATGAGATTGGAAATGAGATGGAGAGTCAATGAGGCAGAAATATACAAGACACTTTTTTTTACCCTAAAGTTTCTTGAATTCTGTTACTAATGATACCTTAAGATTCTTAGAGCTCTGACCAGAAAAGATACATTGTGATCAGGGAAGTTGAAGGAGAATTTCAAAAAGTCTAACCACAACTGACTTTTACCTAGTTCTTTCTAGAAAGCAGTGTTCCTCCTCCATCCTTGTTGCATTTATTGATCACTTGAACTGAGAAAGAATCAGTCATTACAGTTTTGTACCTAATCCCAAAGGGAGAAAGAAGGCAGAAGTCTGGTTTCTTGAAAAGGAGAAAGTCATCAGCTTGAAACAGCAGACAAAGTACTCAACTCAAATTATATTCCCTGATTCCCACAAGTCTGCTTGAAATTCCACCACTATTTGCCATCATTCTGGATTTTGATGGCTTTTGGTCTTCTAGTCTGGCCGCAGAAATGCAAACATCTATTTGTGGTCTTTCACAGGATGCTTTGTACTTTCAGTTAAAAAGATGAAGGGAGATAGTAGAAATCTCTGTGGATGAGTGAGGGGGAAAAGGATTTGATGTTCATGTGAATCTAGGTTTAATTTCTGACCCATAAATTTACTAACACTTGTCATCTTGTCCATCATTGTTTTTAGTGAACCAAGAATACCTCATGACAACTCAATAAACATTTGTTAGAAAACAAATGGGTGACCTTGAATAGCTCTTTTTCTCTCTCTCGTTCTCACCTACTCTCTTTCTCATTTCATAGCAAAAGTCCATCAGTGATAGAATGAAATGATATGGACAATTCTAAGCCAGTTCCTGCTCCACAAGAAATACCAAAAAATTACATATCTTTTCCTCTAGAATTAAGAAAGTTTAATTCCCAACTATACTATGCAGTAGCCATTTCTTTGATCAGATCAATAATTCTCTGAGACTTGATTTCACCATTGATACAAAGGAAGGGATAAAGATCTGTTCCCATTCACCTCTCAGTTGCTCTGAAGATTACAAGAGTTTATGGAATTACATACATTTGGTAAACAGCACAGCACTGTTTAAATGTTTATTATCATTATCCTTATCATAATTGTGCAGATGTGGGTCAAATTCTCACTGGACACCCATCTTTCTTTGGTTGTGGGAGCATCTACTGTGTCCATAGCAATCTTAGAGTCATTATTTTTCAAATCCCACTCTGTTTTCATTAACTAAGTCTACCTTTAAGAAGCCGGATGCTTTCCAGTGCATCTAATTGCATAAAGCAAAAGATCCTAAAGGAATTTATGTGGCCTCAAGGAGCATTATTAATGGAGGTCCCTTCTAGAGATGTAATTTTGGAAGCAATTTTCCATGAAATTGCTGAATGTGTGTATCCATATAAATTTGAGCCCATTTGGTACAATTATAATTTAGCCCAATGATTGCACTAATGATATTTTCAGTAGATATTCTGGTTTAAAAGGAAGGGATACATTTATTACACGTGTATGTAAAACATACTTCAAACTGGATTGTCAGGTAAACGTTTCCATAAGGGCTTCCATATGTCTTTTTCCATTCATCTTCACTGACATACAACCACAATGGATTCTACAATTGAGTAAGGGAAATATCTAAGTCTGAATTGTCTTTAGTTAGAGCTGAAATATGTCTCAACAAAAGGAATTACATTTCATCACATTTTGTGACCTATCAGACCAACAAAGCAGGTGATTTATAGGATGGATTTTGAAACCAGCCGGGGCCAGTTTTGAATTCTGGATCTGCCCCACAGAGCAGATGGCATTGAGCTTTAGTTTTCCACCCTTAAAAAGGAAAATAGTAGTATCAGTCCTTAAAGCTCTCCCAGGGTTGTCAGAATAACAACAGCAAAATGCACAAATATAGGCAAAGTTCGTAACACAATACCTGGCATATAATGCACTCTTTAAGTGATTAATGTATATGACATCTTCCTAAGACGTTGATTTCAGATAGAACCAAAATAAAGTGTGTGTGTATGTAATGTGTACTTCCCTGTGTGTGTAACCATAAAACCTGAGGTTCAGAATGGCTGTGTAATGAGTTCAAATGGGTCCAAAGATATACAATTCATTAAGCAGTTGTGCTGGCAGCAGAATGAGCTTTCAGGGACCTCAGAGATAAATCAGTCCAGTCTCTTATATTTCAAGGACACTGAATTAAGAAGGAATAATTGACTTGTCATAGCTAGCGGAAGCAACAAGACTAGCCCATTAGACTTCGTAAGTTCAATTCAATATTATCTCATTAAAACACATCTTTTCCCAGAGTGCCACACAGCCTTTTCTCCACCCACTGCCTTCAGCTTTTCTTTGCTTCATGTACCCAGGTTATTGGGCTTCTCTTTTACAAATGAAATATATATGCAACCCTAAACCTTATGTCTCTTCTATTTTTTTTCCCCAAGACAGCAGGAAGGCGTGGGTGTTGGAGAGTGTTTTTCATATATTCCACTTACAGAAATTCAAAATACAGCCTTACCAGCCTGTGTGTGTGTGATGTTCCCTCTCAATTATGCTTCTGTAGGACATCAGGAGCAACTTACAGGTTACCATGCTCCTCAATCGTCCTCAAAGATCAGTATCAGAGCTGATCATGGTAGTGTTAATGATTCTATACATATTGGGTATTTATAGTTATTTTGCCCCCTTGAGTCTACAATCAGGTTCTCTTGTCATCAGTCAGCAATCATCATGGCAACACAGCTGTTAATTTCCATACATGGTTCTCTCTTATGCTCCTTACCCTCTCACCAAGCCAATCTACAACCTTCCATCTTCAGAGGCTTCCAAAGTAAAACATTCTACCTATTATGTCTTCTCCATCATCCTTCAAAAGCAGATGGGACTGACTTTTTCCACAGGAAACGTAGCATTGTTCCTCTGCATCCTCCCTGCTTACTTCCTCTAATTCTGCAGGTGTGGTTTGTGCCTCTTTCTCCTTTCTGGTGTTGCTGTCTCTCCAAGATAGCAGTGACTCTCCATTGATGGACAGCTATTTTGGGGATCCTTTACTTTTCTCCTTAGAACATGTGGCACTAATGATCATGTTAACCCCACTGCTTTCTAACTTTGAGTTTCATATGGAAAATAAAAGGTGCTCATGAAGGAAAAAAAAATTAAGAATAAATATTTACCAAGAAGCTGAAAAGAAAAAAAGGTCTTATTTTCATGCATTACAGTTAAAAATGATCCTCAAACTTAAATATGTACTCCAGTGTCATAGTTATTCCCTATTATCCAGCATTATCGCAATTCTGGTGTCACCACTCTCCACCCCAGGGTTTAAACTTCTCCCAGCCTTTTTGACACTCACTTTAAAACCAGAGGGCCTTATACCATACTAAAAACACAGCACTGGTAGCAGAGGCTGAATCTTCTCTGTTTGGGCTTTATTTGCTTGTTTAATTTCATTTATGGTTTTCATATATACAATTTATATTAAAAACATTTTTTTCTCTAGTTGGATTTTGTTGACAAGGATTTCCAGTGCCTTAGTTTTGTTGCATTGTTTGGGCTTGAACACCTGATTTTTGTGTCAATAAGTTCTCCTTTACCCCAACTTGTAAAATAGAATCAGCTAATGGGTTTTCAAAATTTTTAAACAATGAAAATATTCTTAATAACAAGTTTTAGTCTACAATATTGAAATTTTACTGAGCTTCTTGTTTCATTTTGAATTTAATTATTTGATAAGATAATATAATCGGTATAATGCATAATTATTTGGAATTTGCTGAAACATTTGGACTTTATATCATTAGATGAGACAAAATCGTAAATGATTCATTTTCTTTGTATATTGCTAGGCTTCTTACCATGAAATATTTTCTTTTCTCCATTATAATAAAACTTTTTGCCCTAAATTTCAGTTTATTTGATATAAATATTGCTATACAAGCTTTCTTTTGGTTTATATGTTCCAATATATGTTTTTCTCCTTTGTTTTGAGATAAATAGTTCTTGTAAGTAACATATTACTGGCTGTCTTTGTTATTAGTTTTTTTGTTTACTTACCTTCTTCTTTTTTTAATTATCACTTTCCTGTTTCTCTTAAATTGATACAGTTTTGGTTTCTGTTTTTTCCTATTCTAATTTGAAAGTTACTTATTTGGTTTCTATTATTTAAGGAGTTTTCCACAATTGTTATCAAACATTCTATTAATATACTTTTTTCTAGCAACATCTAAGGTTAATCAGTTATCTATCAAAGACAGAGAAATCAGTTATGCTTTCTTCTCTGACCCCCATCACCTGGTTGGAAGCATTGGAATTTGAATTCCAGATTGTTATAGAGAAAAAAGTACATATGTTTACCTTTAATGTCTAATCTAGACACCAATGTGTTATTTTCTTTACTCACAATTACTTATTGCCTATCATGACTTCCTTTTGTATTCATTATTCTTATACATGTGGAGTATCTTTAACCAAAAGAACCAAAATACAAAATGTTTCAGAACAGAAACTTTTTCAGTGCTTACATAACACTCAAAGAAATGCTCATCAGAATGTTTTGATATTTTACATTCTTAAATTGGGGATGCTTGACTGGTAAGTATGTACAAATATTCCAAAATCTATAAAAATACACAATCTGAAACACTTATGTTCCCAAGTATTTTGGATAAGGAATACTCAACCTCTGGTATATCTTTAATCATGCACTAGAAATATTTTTGCTAGTGCTCTTTTTAAGTTCTTGTCTGCCCATAAATATCATTATTTATCTCTCATATTCAAGTTACAATTTAGTTGCATATAGCATTCTTATTTTACCTTTATTTTGTGACACAGTCACACGTTCCAGGGATTAAGTTGTGGATTTGGGACATTATTCCCCCAATACCTGTGAGTCCTTGCTTGCCCCGTGTTTCTTGGGTTCTCATTTGTGCTTTCAATCTTCCTATACCTTTCAGATGCTGTGGTACTTTGGATTTCCAGGAATAGGATGCTGTGGCAAAGTTGAAAAGTTTGAACGGTGAGTAACACCTATGAAATTAAAAGGGAGTGGCAGGATTGGGTGGGTGAGGGAGCTGTCAGCATACTATTTTTAACCTGGCAGTCCCTGACAGCCTGTCAGGGATCTGTCAAGGTCACCCATGAAAGAATCCCCAGCTTCCCACTCTCTTGCTCAGTCACTGGCTAGAGGCTGCCCTGAGAATAGCATGATCTTGACTCAAAAGCTGGGATGGATGCTTACGACGCTACTAGCTGAAGGCTATCAGCTAAGCACAGTCCAGCAGCTGGACAGTGAGTTTTTTTCTTGAAGGGGATCTGGGAGTGCATCTCATGTTACAGAAATTCATTCTGAGAGATTTTTACTCTTCTCGATCACCAGTTTCTCCTTGACTCTGTCCGTTCTGTTATTCAGTCTCTCTCTTCTGTGGTTCCTGTTATTCTTTTCGTTATATAACCGTGTCAATTTCATTACTAAGATCTCCTGCTGCTTCTTTTATACAACCTCTTAATTTTGTTTCATAGAAGCTCCGCTTACCTATTTTGTTGATAATGTTAATTATGCTTATTCTAAATTTCTTGTCTGCATTTTCTATCAGCATTTTCCCCTCTTTGTTCTCTCCCTTTCATTGTGCTAGTTCTCACATACCTGTAATTCTTGTCCATAGCTTATGTTTATAGTTGACCTTAACTTCAAGACCGTCAGCTAACTTTTTAAAGGGTGGAAGCTTCTACCGAAGTCTTTCCCTCTCGGTTTTAGTAGGATTAAGGAATGGGTGGAATGTAGCAGGAAGAGAAGGATTTTTCCCACTGATCTCTCCGGATTTCTGGCCACTTGGGTTCTGCCTTGTCTCCTACCTGGAAATGGTCCCTCTATTTACAACTGTGTTACTAACAGCTTAAAGTGGGGATGGCTCACATAGCCTGGCCACTTCTCAGCCCCATCAATACCCTTCTGCCCCTTGTGTACTCAGCATTACCATCCAGTGGTAGGAAATGCCCATGGTATTGCCTCCAGGCCCTTCACTGCTGTTACCCATAGTTTCAAGTCTCTGGAGCTACTCCTTCCTTTAATTAAATGCCACCTTCTCTTGGCCTCTCTTACACTCCTCCTATTCTCTATCGTGAACGTGTTGCTGTACTTACTCAAAACCACATTTTTGACATTTCAGATCTTAGATGCAGATCACAGAGACAATAGCATGAACTCCAAATGCCATGTTGACTAGAAGACCCAGCTTAACACAATTTTATTTTTTCCCCCAATAAGAACATGGAGCTGCTCTCCCTGAAGTGAAAGGTGGGACCCGGAGTCCTAAACCCCAGAGGTTCCTTTGCATCTCTCCTCTGACTGCATGGAACACGGTGTTTTAAATCATTGGATTGGATGACTTCCAGGGTCACTTTTACTCATACATTTTATGATTCCAGGGTCCAAGAATGATGGTATTATATGTAAGAACTCTGAAGCCTCAAAGAGAAGAGCAATGAGAATTCTTCTTTCTTTCCTATTGTTCATAAACAGGGTATTAAAATGACCACTAAAGAGTAGAAACCTAGCTCTGATATTACACAAAGACAGAACACCCTACCCTCACTTCCCTTTTAATATCGCAAGTCTCTTCCTTCCTTCGTCTGTTAGAGAACATTTCTCCATTTTTCCATGTTCAATATTTATTCCATTTTTATTTAATTATCAATTATCTGCATTGCAATTATTGCCACCAAGTTGAGGGGAACATGTAGAGAAGCAGGTTGTGAATATCAGTAGTATGCTTGGTCCAGGTGGGGAAAACAGCTTTAGAAATGACTGGCCACTTGTGAGAAACTTGGCAGTGTTTCTTTCTCATTTTGACAAAAAGTATAAAGTCAAGTCTTCTTTCACTTTTATTTTTGGTAACTTTAACACAGTTTTGTTTTGAAAGTTGAGTTCAAGGAAAGGCCTCAAAAATACCAATTAAGTGCCTCTGTTAAAAGCCACGCATAGGAAAAAAAAAAAAGTCTCTATGGTATTTGAGGGGAAAAAAATGAAAAAGAGAATCACAAAATTTCTAGGAGAAAAAACTCTGGGCGCCATTAACCTTCCCCACACAACATGGAATTATATGAAGACAGGTTTCTTCTAGACATTCATGGAAACTCAGAGCATATGCACACAGAAAGAAGCTTAGCCAAAGCAGTACTCTATAAGGGGGGTGATTATCTTATTCTGTGCACTCTGGGAACCTATATGTTGGTTATAATAATTAAGTAGGATTTGCTCCAGTGAGATATCAGCCTATGAAAATATTTCCCAATGTGTGCTTTATAGAACAGTTATCTTACAAGATATGCTATAAAAAAGACCCTGTGATCAAACAAATTTGGGGAATACACCATATTCTCTGCTCTTGTGGGAGATTTCCTATGCATATTGTCATGTCAGGTAGTTTAATTATATAAACCCAGCATTTCTCAAAACAGTTTCCCATAGTACCCTCTTTGTTCTGGTTCCTTGACACCTTATTGCTAAGGGCAGGTGGTATATCATGGCCGGTAAGAGCAAAGCCATAGAAAATGAAGAACCTGATTTCAAATCCTGGTTCTTCTATTTAACAAGTGAATCTCTTTTGGATTCACTTCCCTTGTCTATAAAAGAGAGACAATAATCATGATCTTGTGGGATTGTTGTGTTCACAGGCAATAATATATCTAAAGAACACAGCTCTGTACCAGCCATGTGCAAAGGCTCAGAAATAGTAGCTAAAATAATATGTAGTGATTTTCGAGGTTAGATTGATAATAATAATAAAAACCCAAAAACAACAAAAACACCTGGAAGCCTAGAGAGTTATAAATATTAATACATGGATAATTTTGTTCTTCCTTCCATTGGTCCTAGAAAAATGTTAGAATGAGAATAGAGACCTGGAAAAAGCTTTGCTATAGAGAGACAGATTTTTAAGTACTTCTTAAAGTTAGTTTTTATTATTGCCCCTTCAGTGGAGCCCTTTCTACGCCAGCGTCCTTTCCACCCATGTCCATGTGACAGGATATTTCCTGTTTCCTTTCTGCCTTTTTTTTTTTTTTTTTTTTTTTTTTTTTTGAGATGGAGTCTGGATCTGTCGCCCAGGCTGGAGTGCGGTGACATGATCTCGGCTCACTACAACCTCTGCCTCCTAAGTTCAAGTGATTCTCCTGCCTCAGCTTCCCAAGTAGCTGGGTCTACAGGTGCCCACCACCATGCCCAGTTAATTTTTGTATTTGTAATAGAGTTGGGGTTTCGCCATGTTGGCCAGGCAGGGTTTAAACTCTTGACCTCCAGTGATTCACCTGCCTTGACCTCCCAAAGTGCTGGGATAAGAGGTGTGAGCCACCATGTCCAGGCTTCTGCCATTTACTTTTACACCTACCCTAACACGGGAGTTGCTTTCTATGGCCTTTGTGTCCCTCTTGTCCCACTGTCTCTTTCTCAGTGATGAACTCTTAATGTCCTCACACATAGCCACCGCTCTGTGTAGCTGAAGAGGCCCCAGAGAAGCCTGAGGAGAGACACACTTTTGCCATACCCTGAACCTTGGGTGAAATTTGAAGTGAGAGTTTTCAGCAGCCATGTTTTCACAGAACAGCTGACCCTAGCAGGGGGTGGTAGATTTGAATTTTGCTGTTAGTTTCTTTATTGCTAGATTAGGGAAAAAAATAAAACAAAACAAAGAAACAAAACATTCAAATGCATTTGACAGGTGGTCTTATAACTCCAGCCTGGGTGCTCAGGATTGCAGTGTTAAACTTGGTTAATTATGATTCAGAATTCAAGGAAAGGAATGTCGTGGAGTATAGAGATAGAGTCCATGAGCTTTGATGTTAAAAACTGTGATCTTTGGGAGGCAGAGGCAGGCAGATCACAAGGTCAGGACTTTGAGACCAGCCTGGACAATATAATGAAACCCCGTCTCTACTAAAAATACAAAAATTAGCTGGGTGTGGTGGTGTGCACCTGTAATCCCAGCTACTCAGGAGGCTGAGGCAGGAGAATTGCTTGAACTCCGGAGATGAAGGTTGCAATCAGCCGGGATCACGCCACTGCACTCCAGCCTGAGCGACAGAGCAAGACGCTATCTCAAACAAACAAACAAACAAAAAAACTGAGATCTGCTTATGTGTGGATAAAATAGCTTCTACAGGCCTCACTTTTCTTATCTGTAACTTTTAAAAATAAAACGGTTTCTAAATCTTAAGATTTCTGTTAAGTTTAAATGAAATAATGCAGAGTATTTGGAGTATTTGCTATTCTGTCAGTTTAGAAGGCTGTTAGCTTTCAGGAAAATCTGTAGGTTGATAGACTTAGCAGTTTTTGTGTGAGTTAGATTTCTATCCTAAACTGGGAATTTTGCTGTCCATTGCATTTGTCCATCCACGTATTAATGCATCCTCTGTCCCTAAAAGAAGTTACATACCAGGCCATAAACAAGATGTTATGTTCCAAAGTCTGAAATGTTAGACTAGAAGATCAAATCTTTTCTGATATTTGACAGATTTTACCATCTCAGAGTCAATTAACAGGTGATCATTTGTTTCTGCAGAAAAGTTACAGAAGATTTCTAACATCAAAGAATTTGAAGGCCGTTCTGCTAAATGAATGATTTAGAGCAACCATATAGGGATGTATTCAGGAAGTGGTGCTTGTTCTAATCTAGTTCTCCTCGGCCCAGTCTAGTTTCAAGTACAGGGGAGAAAAAGAAACAGCAGAATAGGGCTTGGCCCATAGTTTTCAAATAAGGGACCCAAGGCCCTACTCAACCCATTCCCTCCTTGGTTGTATCTAAAGTGCTATTTCATTGCTTGTATTTTTTATCAGATGACTATTTTAATTTTGATTTTTATCTACCGGATATATTTCAATGTATTTTAGTCATTTCTTATGGTTTTAATGCATGTTTGTGTCTTTGTTTTTTTCTAAAAAAAAAAATACTGATTTTGTAGTTGATATCATATGGTTCCATTAATTGAAATGGTAGAAGATCTTTATCAGCTGTTTCTTACATCTGTTCCCT